CTCTCTCTCTCTCTCTCTCTCTCTCGCTCTCTCTTTCTCTCTCTCGTTCTCTCTCGCTCTATCCCTCCCTTTCTTTATCTTCCGTCAAAATTAGCTGACGTTCAACCGCTACACGATCATCACACGTGCATACGCTAATACATAATCCGTATACCATGTACTGGTCCCTCGCACTCGTGTGTGAGCGTGAGAACGTGGATCCTACAAACGCTCAGCGATATACGCGCGCTCAGAGCCTCGCATTAAAACTGGTTTCGAATATAGAAAGGGTGAAAGTTTCATCTAAAAAAAACTCTCGCATAGACATGTTTCTTCGCGTGAGGATCTGCACGAAGTATAGTTGGGAGCTAACATCGCAGCTCAGCTGTTTAGTACACACTCGTGGTATGAAGCTGGAAATCATGTGCTGGGATAGGGTTCATAATTATTATGGTTAGTATACGAATGGGAATTACGGCTAGTTGATGAAAATTAGGGTTAGGTTCATGTCTATGAGCAGGGTTACGGGAAAGGATAGGGTTTGGATTAAACTGAGGGTTAGTGTTAAAGTTTGGGTATGGGTAAGGTATCGGATTAGGCTTAGCGTATAGGTTTAGGGTTAAAGTTAAGGATGACGTGGATAGGATAGGGTAGGGGGTAGGGGTTTATTGGAGGTATATGGGCTACCGATGGCATAGGGGATTGGATAGTTCGCGTCTCAGGCTTGATCTCTGTTAATTGTGTAAAGGAGGTGTAGATAGCGACTGAAGGTTAATCGACTAAAATGTCATTGCATTACTATCATTCGTGAAACACCAGAAACCACGCAACTACCTGACACGCCCAAACTGTAGAAACTCACATTCCCCCTCGAAGCGTTCATGCGCACGCCAACGGCTGAATGACGAGTCCCTCCCTCTCTCTCTCCCGTGCTCCCTCTCTTGCGCCTGCTCTCTCTCCCTCTTTACTTTCTCTCTCTTTTCTCTCTTTCTCTCTTTCTCTCTCTCTCTCTCTCTCTCTCTCTCTCTCTCTCTGTCCGTTGTTATTTCGCGCTCTCTCTCTTCCTGGCTCTCTCACTCTTTTTCTCTGTCTCTATCGCTCCCTTTTTCCTCTCTTTCCATGCACAACTGATACGCTCCGGAGCCTCTCACAAACTAACAATCCGTTGGTAACTCTGATAGGCCCCGAGCGTAGAACACATTAGCAACGCGCCGGAGAAATTCAGTCTGACACGGCTGATTCATCTACAATGAATGAACGGAGACGAGGAAAAGGTGAGAGGCCCTAACGCTAAGATGAAGAAGAGTGAGATTGTAAAGATGCAGGATTGAGTGGGAATACGTGTTTTATAAATGCATCAAACACACACACACACCGCACACACACACACACACACACACACACACACACACACACACACACA